AAATTTAACTTAGTAGAAAATGATAATTTTCTAGAAAAGATATTTAAAAAGTAATGAACAAATGAATAAAAATATAATTACAGAAATAAGGTAAATGTACTCTTTTAATGTTCATTAACCCAAAGATGCCAGATAGAGATGGACTTCACAAATTTTAGCAAGTCTGATGAATTGAGGATCCCTATTTTACAAAAACCTATCTCAACAAAAAATTATTCTCACTCATACTAAAAAAAGGAAAAAAACTGTATATGGCCTGGCGCAATGAATTGGCTGGCTGATCCCTTGCCAGCATTGGGATTCCTTGTGGCCATTGGTTCATGTCCTGGCTGCTCCATTTCCTATTCTGCTCCCTGCTTAGGCTGAGAGCATAGTGGAGGACAGCCCAAAGCCTTGGGCCCCTGCTCTCACATGGGAGATGTGGAAGAGGCCCCTAGCTTCTGGCTCCCGGCTCCTGGCTTTGGATTGTCTCGGCTCTGACAGTAGTGGTCATATATGGGGAGTGAACCAGAAGATGGAAGATCTCTGCCTCCTCTCTGTAAATCTGCCTTTCCAACGAAATAAATCAAAATCCAAACAAACTTGTATACTCTTATTATCTAAAAGGGAGAATAGAATTAAAAAAATAGGTAGGTAAGAAGGAAACTATCCCATTTCACCAAAAGCCCCTCTCCCCCTCCTTTTTGTTGAAATCCAAGAAGACTTCTCTGGGTTACTCAGCTAACTAACAGTGCATTATTAACTTGTTACAGTAAGTTAATGGTCCAAGCTTCTAATAAGCACACAATTGGAAGGAAAAATTCCATTCTGGAAGCAACAGACTAATGATAAGAGAGCAGAGATCAAAAGAAAAAATAATCAAAGGTGTGGATATAGAAGGTACTTGTTCTTTCTATTATTTTGTGAATGAAAAAGCTTTATGTGGAATTATTGCCTCTCATTTACTGTTTGCTATAACATGAAGTGATGGTTTCTATTAAAAACAAGGCAACCTGTTAAAAGAAAAATCTGTGTTGAAAATGCAAGAAGGTGGAAAACCAGCAGCTAAGCTACTAAAGTCTATGTATAACAGAACATCATGGAGGCATTATTTCAAGAACAGAAAAAAATTTAGTGTAACTTTGGTATTGGAAAAGATTAATAGACACAGACCATGTGGACATCCCCGCACTTGCACAGAAAGCACTTCATGACGTGACACTCTTTCATCATAACTTTTTGAACAATCTGGGGTGAGAAGAGAATGTCATAAAGGATAGTCACAATGGCTGTAACACTTACACAGACTGGAACGATTCCCATAGAATCAGAATTGAGAGTGCCTAGACACTACTCCTAGTCAACCTGTCCTCAAGTGGACTTACCAATACCATCAGACAAGAAAAGGAAGCAAGTAGAATGAAGACACATAACAAAAACATGATTGTCTATGTTCTCGAAAATAATTGTCAACAAAATTCCCAAAGGATTTGCAAATAATTTAATCTGGTAGGAGTTCATTAGAGTTGGTGAGTAAAAGAACACTGCACCAACATTCATGACTGGTCTAAGTAAGAATTAAATTCTAGGCCTGGCACAATGCTCAATGATTCAATAATTTCTCCCCTTGCAAGTGCCAGGATCCTGTATGGGCTCAAGCTCCTGTCCCAGTTGTTCCCATTCCCATCCAGCTCTCTTTGGCCTAGGAAAGCAGTAGAAGATGGCCCAACTCCTTGGGACCTGCACACATGTGGGAGACCCAGAAGAGGCTTGTGGCTCCTGGCTTCAGATCAGCTCCGCTATGGCCATTGTGTCATCTTTGGGAGTGAACCAGCAGATGGAAGACCTTTCCTTCTCCCCTTTTTCTCTATAAATCTGCCTTTCCAATAAAAATGAATAAACCTTTTAAAAATCCAAATATATGGATAAAACTACATTTTATTGAAGGAAACATCAACTGAGACTACTACACACTGTACTACTATGTTAACAGTTTGTGAAGACTCAATATGGTAACATGTTCTTATAGTCCAAAATAACCTAAAAATTCAATATTATGCCAAACAAGCTCTATTCAGTATTTTGTGTGGCGTTGTAAAACTCACAAGCATAAATAGATAGTCAACATGGTCAAAAGAAAAGAACAGTTGTGGGCTTCAATAATATTCACAGAGATGCATATATATATGATAGTTAAGTCTTTGGCGATGTGCAGGTACAGACAGATAAAACAGTTCCCTGGTTTAATGCTCAGCTCCCACGGTTATCAAAAGAAATCTGGTTGAACACCTGCAATACAGACTAGGGGGTTTGCCTGCATTTATGGAATGAGGGTGGTGAGGAGACTTCACTGAAGATGGGGAAATGGTAGTTGAGTGGGTGTGTATGTGGAACAGTGAGAGGAATGCCTATGCAGTATTATTATTGCAGCGAGAACAAAGCAAAGCTCACTGGTCTTGTGAAAAGCAAGGCCTTGTCTCAGAAAGGAGAGAGAGAGAAAGATCTTCCATCCATTGGTTCACACCCCAAATAGCCACCACAGCCAGAGCTGAGCTAAACCCAAGCCAGGAGCCAGAATCCCCCTCTGGGACTCCCAGGTAGGTGCAGGGTTCCAAGGACTTGCGCCATCCTCTACTGTTTCCCAGGCCATAAGGAGGAAGCCGGATGGGAACTGGAGCAGCCGGAATATGAACCGATGTCCATGTGGTATGTCGGCACTTGGAAGGGGAAGATTTAGATAATTGAGGCCTCTATATCAGTCTCTAAGACTCACCAAGATAAGACAATGCATTGTTTGAGGGAGCCTGGAGCTAATTCAGCTTGGGTAGACCGCCCTCTGCTGGTGTTAATGTGTGTGACACTGGCATCACTATATTCAAGGGCTAAGGCGAAACTGCATGACAGTATATAGCCATGTTAGGACTAAATGAGTTAACATCTACCAAGCACTAAGAATGTGTCTGGGCTTTTAAAAAAATGTAAATAAAAAGAACTCAGAAGTAGTGGCTTAATTCGCCTTTAGCTGCGGTGTCTTTCTTGGCCTCTAGGCATTAAGATTTTGTGGATTCCTTTCTCTACTTAATAACAACAGTAACAGCAATATTCACATTACAGAAACAGTATTACATCTTAGAATACTCTCGCCCTATAAATTTCATTTTTTCTTTTGATTTTGCAAGACATTATATTTTGGCGAGCTTCTGCAAGAACTGTGGGTCCTATGCACTGTGCCGATTACTGTATATTGATCCGTATGCATCTGAAGGTGACATTTTAAAATGTAGTTAATCAGGAAATAAAAACGATAGTCAGTCTCACACACACACACACACACACACACACACACATCCACACTGGACGACCTACAAACAAATCCTGCTTCCTCACTCCTTCTCATTTTGAGATGTAAAAAAAGAGAGGGGGGAGAGAGATAAAAGCCCAAGCAAGGCTGTTTTTCTGCTTTTCGGTCATTGAATTGTGTTTAAAGGGATTGGAGACTCTTCACAAAGGCCTTCTAGAGAGGGACCAAGCATTAGCGGCCAGCCACCTGCAGTTTAGGGACGCGGGCGACTGGATGGCGGCACCCTCCAGGCTGCCCCTTAGGGAGCCGGAGTGGCTGCGCGCGGCTGAGCCTTAGCTGGGCTCTGTCTCCGGGGCGCAGGGGCAAGGCGGGAGTCCAGGCACCTGCCTGGGGAGGGACTGTGTTTTGCGAGCCGGAATGGAGAGGCGTGGCTGCACGGGCCGTTGAGAGCTGGCGTGGAGGAGCGTGATTCGCTTTTCACCGCTGCGTAGCCATACCAGGAAGATGGTGCCCCTGCTCTTTTCAGGACCTCTGCAGTTTACGTCCTTTGTGATTTGGGGGAGGAAGGGATGGAGCTCCGTGGTTATTGATAACCTTATTTCAATTAAGTTCCATGTCTTTTAAAACACATTTTTTCCCCCACTTGTGGTGCTCTGATTAGCAGTGTCAACATCACCCTGGTAATTTAGAAGTGCAAATTACCAAAACCTCCTCCAGATTTAACAGAAACTGTGCAGGTAACTTCCAGAAATCTGTGTTTTAAAAACTCCTTCTGGTGATTTTAATGCAAACTCAATTTGGTAGCAGCTTCCAATTAATTGTGTTTACCTTAAGCCCGGTGTGAGATGTGATCTCTCAAATAGCAGTTAAGCTAAAGTTTTTGTTTGCCTTCAGGATTGCTACTTTGGGTAAGTAGATATGTATGTAGGTGAGTAGGTAGATAGGACGGATGTGTAGATAGGAACGTGTGTAGAACGGGGAGGTTTTAGGAGGGAGATTAGATTGAACAATGAATACAGTCTCCCCTCCTTCCACCCCAAGCCATGCTCTCTAAGAAAGAAGACTATTCTTGGCAGCCAGAAAAGTGAAAGGACACTTGAAGTGAACTGTCCTGGGGAGATCGGCAGAGGAACTTCACTCACTCGAATGTAGTAGAAGTCAGTCTCATTGGATCCAGACTGACAAATGGTGGGAAATGAAAAGAACTGGAGATGGGTCATGCTATGTGTAATTGTGTTCAGAATACCATCCAACGGCTACCCTGCTCTTGCATTACGAGATGGATGCCCTCCGTTTCCCGTCAATGTGATTATTTAGGAGCAGATCTGTTGAAATACAAAATTTCTTGAGTGAAAAGTATATCTGTAGGGTCTGTATAAGACGAAGTGTTGATTGTTTAGTGTCTGAAACCCAGCAAGATACATCTTTTTTTTTTTTAAATGCTTTTGTTTTGTTTTAAATTCAGCTATTTTAATTCAATTAAAAGCAAGCAAAGTTTTGGCTGGTAGTGATGGAGAATGGCCCAAAGCTTTTAGACCCTGTATCTGTGGGAGACCTAGAGGAAACTTCTGGCTCCTGGCTTCTGATCAGATCAGCTCTGGTGGCTGTGGCCACGGCAGTAAACTGGCAGATGGGAGATCTTTCTCCCCATCTCACCTTCTCTCTGTAAATCTAACTTTCCAATAAAGATAAACAAATCTTAAAAAAAAAGTATGCACAATTCCAATTCTCAGCAGATTTTATTAATCACAGCAATTCATTTACAAATTTCCTGCCATTCTCCAATTCATCCTTTTCCCAAAATCGGATTTTGTGGTAAATAGCCTAACACAGAAAGCAAATTCTATTTTTTTTTTTTTATCATTTGGAAAACAAAATGGCCAAGCTAAAGCTGTTCTACTCGTGTAGATGTATCAATATGAAGTGGGGTAGGCTGAGTGGAATCTGGGTGGAGACTCATCAGTCATTTTTGGGCAGCTCAGAATTTTCATACTTTGCATTGTCTATAGACAGATGCATGTTTCCAGTCACTCTGTGCATTCATTTCTCCTCTGCATCTGTATCTCTCCCCTGAATAAAGAAGCAAACAAACAAAAAAGATGTGTTAGGTACATTTTGCCATCAACATTAATATTTTCTAAACAAAGAGGAGGGATTTTAAACATGTGTTTGTATATTTATACTATCTAAAATCTCTGTTCCAGTGTTATTCCCCATGTTTTCGTCACTCTTAGATTTAAAAATACTGGCTAAAACATGCTCAGTCAAGAGATAGCTCTAATGGCTTTCATAGGTTTTTGTCTTTCACCAAGGCCTTTAACAATGTTTCACATTCTTTGGAAATCTTCAGGCTATAAACTTCAGCTCATATGGATACCAACAAACTCACTAAACAATGTATTTATCTCAATTTCAGAAAAACAGAGTGTAGTAAATACATTGTTACATATTGGGAAGTTAAGAAACAACCCTAATCATGTAACAACAGCTATAGAATTCAGGGGCCTCCAAACCACTCTCAACTTTGAACATTTAATAATAAAATAACTTAGAACGAATTACAAATCTGTTCTACTCAAGGTTACACTTTACTAAAGCCTAAGAATCCAAACTAAAAGCGGCTGAGGAAGAGGACACGGGAGCAAAATATAAGAGTGCTTCAAACACGTTAACAGCTCTGAGCAGACAAACAATAAAACACATACCGATTATGACAACCAGTCACATTTCCTGTCTAGACTTTTGTTTATTGGGCCTCAGTCACGTAGTTATGACTGTTCACAGGATGGACCTTTCATCTCCAGCAGTGGAGCAGATATAACAGGGTACAAAGCTCCCACCATAAACCGCGTGGTAGTCTTGAGAACACACTTCTATCAGGCAGCACGTTGCTCTGGCTTGGAGATCACTTGTCAGGTAAGGACCAAAGCCAGATTTTTCCAAGAACAAAGTTAATTTTTCCCTGCACATAGTTTCAAGGCAAAAGGTATATTTGTACCTTTAAGTTAGGTGTCTATTAATTTGATGGGTGTTTGTATTTTATGGTTGTTCAAATGCATTCTTTTGAATATTTACATCAGCAATGAATATTTTGTGTACTTTATTCAGATGGACAACCTATATAGTGACCTCAACTCTTTAACCCCTTTTCCCTAGTTCTACTATACTCTTGCTCTAGAGAAGAGAGGGCTTAGGAGAGGTAGTGATCTGCTTTGGGGATGGGGAATTCTTGAACTTTGCTTTGGTAGCACAGTCAGTGCTAACTAGCAAAAGGAGTGTCTTTCCATCACACTAGCACAGCTGCACCTAAGTAGCTTGTCCCGCCATAAACTATGACATTTCTCACATGGCAATAACAGGAATAGGGATTATAGAAAAGTAAGGAGCTTTAAACATATATAAGTTTATTCTCATTTTATTTGACAAAGAGAGAACAAGAGGCACACATTAGCAGGAATGCTATTGGAAGAAAAGAGGGAATTAGAAGTCGGTACTCCACAACCACACAACAACAAATACCTACCCCTCTATCTAGTGTCTGAGGTACAACTAATTTTCACATCTGAGGATTCCTTTTTTTAAAATCATCATCAAAAAGTTTATTATAAAAATTTTTTAAATGCAATTTTATTTTTCTGTATCTGGGGGAAGCAGGGAGATAAACGGAGATAAAGGGAAAATTCCCACCCAACCTCCCACCCATCCCAGGGTCCCTGACGTGAGGCATGCTCCAAGGGTCCTGCTCAAGTGGTTTTGAGAGTTCAGCAGTTCTGAATTTCTGCCAATCTCACCATTCCAAGCAGGACGAAATCTCTCCAGAATCCACTGGCTGACATAATCCACCTTAAAGTCTTCGTTTGCCCAGATTTTCACTGCCAACATGTGGCTGGGGTACTTGATCAATTTGTTCAGTTCTCCGTCTACACCTGAGCATTCTAAACATAAAAAAAGATGTGTTGGTATTAAAATATGGTCATAAATGTTTTACATTCCTTATGACAAAAGCAGAGCCTAGTGTCTCTGGTGTGTGCCAGATATGAGAGATGTGCTTACCGTAATAGAATGTGGCGAAAGGAGTAGGTAAGTCTTCCAAACTATGGTCACAAAAGGCCTGGGTGGCTTCTTTCTTCCACTCTGATTTCTTTTTCTAGGGAATACCAGCTGCTATGTTTGAAGATGATCTTCCCAGACAGAGGTCTCCAGAAAGCAGCCAGCTTAAACGTGCCCATTTGCCAGGGTTTGGTCTTGAGAGGGGTTCTTCCAGCTACAGTCAAGGACTGGAAGACTGCAGAATGTGCCTTGGTCTTACTTCCACCTGCAGGGATGGTTTTGTCCATAACCAATCCCCTCAGCCATTTCTAGATTCCTGGCACACAAACTCAATGAGATATTAAATATTCACTGATTTATACTGCTCACTTTTGTGATTATTAAACAGAGACTCACAACCATGCTAGAGTTTATGAAGCTACTACTAATGAAAAAAAAAAAAAGTGGATAAAGGTAAACCCAAAACAGAAACTCACGGAACTGGCTTTTATTCATGGAAAAAAAAAATCTTGTGAAATATTAACAACATTTCTCCAATCATAAAAATAGTAATACAATATGACTGTCTGTGGTGGCCTAGGAAGGCAACCAGCACTAGGAAATCTATTGAGACTTTCTCGTAACATATTAAAGGAGAAAATCAGATGATTTTCACCAGATTCCAAAAACTGGACTTCTTAAGTCATTCCTAATAAGAACTTATTAGACAATTACAAAGACATTATATGGATACAATAAAAAGCTATTCACACATATTTATAAATCATAAACTAGCAAAGCCATTTCTATGAAAAGAAGGAACAAGATAATGGTGCTTGATACCATGTCTATCTGATATGATGTGTCTATCTGATGTGTTTGTGATTGTAGCTAACAAAAGATGATAAAAGCAACTAATAGTTACTGGGAATAATAGTAAACACTTCCAATTTTCTAATGAAGCTTATTAGGATTTTAAAAAATTGGTGAAGGCAGATAAATAAAGAAATATCCAATTCTCCTCCCACACTCAGAGTTTCAAACAGTGCTTCAATCAGGCCCCATCTGTCATGGAACAGAAAGCATGACTTGGCAAAAGTTACTTAATTTTAAGGAGATTTATAGCTTAATTCAGAGCTACATGATAGCCTCCTTTTTGTTTTGTCATTTTTTAAAACTTATTTTTAATTATGAGTAAATCCATCAGATCTAGAAAATTCTGTTATTTTTAAAATCTCACATCTGCATCATTCTTTCTTTTCTCATACTATTACATGCACATCAGATTATTTTACTATCAAGGCCAGCTCTCTTAAACTTACCTGTACATTTATCTCTGTGCATTGTCATAACTAGTTAAAACAAGTTTTCACAATTAATTTTTCTTCTGAGTCCAACTTCACTGTTCAACCCAGACAGTAAGCTTCTACTTTTAATTTTGCATTGTCATTCTATATGAATATTTATTTTCTAGAATTTCTATTTGGTTCTTTTGTCAGAGCTGTGTGCTCATTTGTATTTTTAGTTTCTCAGCATGTTTTGAAAAGCCTCTAAGAGGCTGAAGTGAGCCATTGGAAGTTTGTATTCATTTTTCTGTTTTGTTTTGTTTAACTCTTTTTGTTGCCATGTGCCCATTGCTCTCATTTATTCCTTCTGGTTTTATAGTATCTTTGGTTACTTCTGATTGTGAAGCTGTTTATGTTTTGTCTTTGATAGTCTGAGAATTTTTGAGGCCTAAACTAAACCTTGTTCCTTTAGAGGTGATTTGTATTTCCTTCTATCAGGTGCTCAGGGACAGGAAATCAGCCTGGAACAAGGTTAAGTTAAATTTTCAGCTGTGACATTTTATTTTATGTAGTATGAATTCTGGAAACAGTAAATCAAGGCTGGCTTATAGTTCAGATCTCAGTGACAGACTCTGCCACATTCGGGACCAAGGTTCACAGGTGACTTTAGGAGCAAGCAGGGGTCTCTGTGTATATCCTGGGCTCACTTCTGGACATGAGGAGAGGGCTTTTGGCTTGTTGCCCCAGTTGCAGTGGTAGTGGTCCAGATTTATCAGCTGCCACACCATGATTAGACTCCATATAACACCCTAAAAATCTTATTGTACATTCAGGTAAAAGTCATCTCTACTGGGATTTTATGCGGATAAATTTGTGAGCCTCAAGTCCTTATTTTAGTCATATTCCATTACTTCTTAAGAATACTACTACTAATAAAAAAAATCGAGGTTTTTATTTGTCCAACAGGTGCCATGCTCCTTATGACAGATGTGCCTCTGTAATTCATAAGTCCATATTTATTCGTGCCGATGAGCACATCAGGATTTCTAAGTTCATTCCTCCCTCATCCGGTCTGATCCTCCACCTCCAAGTCCAGCGTTCCTGAACCCAGCACCAACAACCTTTTACCACCTCATCTTACTTCTGTGCAACAAACACCTCCCTTGCCAGAACAAACACATCTCCTGCCAGAATGAGTTATTTCCTCTGTTTTCCTCCATGATAGGCACTAAGGACCTACATGCAGGAAGGGGGTGAACCATGTTGAAAAATGGGTCTTAGATGACATAAAATTTGGATTACTGCAGACAAACATCTTAAAACAAATGGCTCATTAGGTGTCTCCCTTTATGCAAAGCAGTTTTAAAAAATCATTTATTTTTTATTGGAAAATCGGATTTACAGAGAGAAAGATCTTTCATCCACTGATTCACTCCCCAAGTGGTTGCAATGGCCAGAGCTCAGCTCTGAGCTGATCTGAAGTCAAGAACCAGGAGCTGCTTCCGGTCACTCATGCCGGCACAGGATCCCAGGGCTTTGGGCAGTCCTCTATTGCTCTCCCAGGCCACAAGCAGGGTGCTGAAAGGGAAATGCAGCAAGTGGGAAACTAATAGATTCCCATATGGAATCCCAGCACGTGCAAGGCCAGGACCTTAGCCACTAAGTTATCACACTGGGCCCTATCCAAAGCATTTTAAAATTGGATTTTGCGCAAACCATCTTGCTCCCCCTACTCACCAGCTCAGTGTCAAGCTAAGCACAATTACAATGTAATTAAATCAGAAAACCTTTATAATATTTCTGTGGTGAAACACTGTTTTTAGCCATCATTTAGTATTACATATTGGGGGGAAAAATAATGGAAAAGGGAAGAGAAGACCTGAACATTAATAGGCGGTTTCATCAAGCTTGTGCTTTGTTGCTCACTCAGTACAAAACCCCAGGCCAACATCAGGGGCAACCTGGGAGGCTTGTGTGGGAGCTCTCAACTTCTTTATTTATCTATTTTCACTTAACTAACAATAACAATTTATTTCTCAAATCCCGTCACATAAAAGCCTTTTAAGTACTGCAATGAATAATTACCCTTAGAACTGAATCCGCAGTTGCTGAAGGACTCTCCTGTTCTAATCCTATGTGCAGCAGATAGAGCTAATAAAATCATTACACTGCACACCATTTGAGATAATACAAAGGCTAATAGTTTAATAAAAAGGAGTAAGAAAAAAAAACCAGAAAAACATTAAGAGAAAGAAAGGTTAGTAGTTTAATACTGAGTAGATGCTATTAACAATAGCTACTGATTTCATCTTAGATGAACCGAAAAACTCAGACTGTTTTGTTGCTGTTTGTTCTGCGTCATTAAAAATTGCCATAAGTCCTTTCCACCATCCCTCAGACCTGTAAGGCGCACTGAGAGAGACAATGTGACACAGATGACAAGTTGAAACCACTTTCAGTTGTTACTCTTTTCTATAGTTTTCTGGTACTCAGACAATGGCTATGCAGAATGTTCCCAGAGTGAGCACTCTGCATCTTTGGTTTTGTTATTTTCTTACAAGTAGCTCTTACGCAGCAGTGATATATCAACTGGTTGGTAGCATGAACGTAATATATCTGGTACGTGAAATCCAAAATTGAGAATTACAACTCATTTATTGAAAACATGCGTGGCTCTGAAAAGAGCCTTTGGGGTTAGGTATAAAGACGCTTACGTGCAGAGTCTACTTGGAGCTGGTGTACTTGGTGACGGCCTTGGTGCCCTCGGACACGGCGTGCTTGGCCAGCTCGCCGGGCAGCAGCAGGCGCACGGCCGTCTGGATCTCCCGGGACGTGATGGTCGAGCGCTTGTTGTAGTGCGCCAGGCGCGACGCCTCGCCCGCGATGCGCTCGAAGATGTCGTTGACGAACGAGTTCATGATGCCCATGGCCTTGGACGAGATGCCCGTGTCCGGGTGCACCTGCTTCAGCACCTTGTACACGTACACCGAGTAGCTCTCCTTGCGGCTGCGCTTGCGCTTCTTGCCGTCCTTCTTCTGCGCCTTGGTCACCGCCTTCTTGGAGCCCTTCTTCGGGGCAGGAGCGGACTTGGCTGGCTCAGGCATTGTAACCCTAAATATTGCGACAGTAAGCAACACCTGAGAAAATAATCAGGCTGAGAACGCCACACTCATTTATAGCTGCGGTATTCAAATGAGGATTGTAAATTTTCGCTTATGATTGGGCTAAGGTCGAGTGTGTCGTCACAAATGCGAATCCAAACGACACTTACGAATCTAGGTTTTCATTGGCTATCATGCTGTTTCAACTCCACCCAATCAGAAAGCAGAGACTAAACTACCGAATGCTACTAGGAACACCCTTATGCCAGCCGGGCCAAATTCCACCAAAATCAAGAGTGTGTTAAACTACCTTAACATGAGAGTATGTGTCCTGACGTTTGATTTGGCCAACGAGGTATTAACATCTGCTTCGTATCGAGGAGTTGCACATGTAAATCCCCCTTCAAGTTGTGCACGCCCGGACGGCGTAAGTCACTAAAACATCTGGATATATACCTATGCTCCAACGCCCACCGCGCTCGGTCAGAAAGCCACCCCCCGTTTGCCGGAGAACCGCAAGACCTAACCACCCACCCACCCAGCCTGGTGACCCGACTCCGCGCCCAGGCCCGCCCATGCAGCCTCCCTCACCACGCCCCCAAGTGTGTTGCTACAGCTCTTTCCTTGAGATCTGTGGGTGGCTCTGAAAAGAGCCTTTGGGTTGTGATCAGCTAAGCAGTTGGCCGAAGAACTTTATTTCTTCTTCCCGGGCGCCTTCTTTGGCTTAGCCGTCTTGGGTTTGGCAGCCTTGGGTTTAGACGCCTTGGGCTTCACAGCTTTGGCCTTTGCGGGGCTCTTGGGCGCCTTCTTGGGCTTCGCTGCTTTGGCCTTCTTCGGGCTCTTTGCCTTCTTAGCTCCTGCGGCAGCCGCGGGCTTCTTCGCTTTCTTTGGGGTCTTCTTAGCGCCCTTCTTCGGGGTAGCGGCACTCGTAGCCTTCTTGGGCTTCTTGGCCGCACCCGCAGACTTCTTGGGTTTGGCCGCGCCCGCCTTCTTAGGCTTGGGCTTGGCTTCCCCGGAAGCCGCCTTCTTGTTGAGCTTGAAGGAGCCGGAGGCGCCGGTGCCCTTGGTCTGGACCAGGGTGCCCTTGCTCACCAGGCTCTTGAGCCCCAGCTTGATGCGGCTGTTGTTCTTCTCCACATCGTAGCCGGCGGCCGCCAGCGCCTTCTTGAGCGCGGCCAGGGAGACCCCGCTGCGCTCTTTGGAGGCGGCCACAGCCTTGGTGATGAGCTCGGACACCGGGGGCCCGGACGCCTTGCGCTTCGCGGCGCCTGCAGACTTGCGGGCCTTCTTCTTCACGGGGGTCTTCTCGGCAGGGGCCGGAGCTGCGGGCGCGGCGGGCGCAGTCTCGGACATGATGAGGGCGGGTGTGAGGAGAGCACTTCGAGCCGGAAGCAGAGACACTGGCCGGGACTCGGGCCGCGGCGCTGCGCCCGCGCGTTTATATAGGGCGGAGCTGCACCGTGATTGGTGCGCTGTCCAGCCCGCCTCGCTGGCAGCCGCAGAGTGTCCTCTCGGATCCCGAGTTGTGTTTGTTACACCTCAAAAAAAGCCAAAAATATCAAAATTCTCTGCACCGAATTGCTCGGTTTTTCATGGATAAGGATCCTCGAAGCCTCAGGCTTCACGCAGATCTCAAATACTGCGGATAGCACCACACCTTGTGCCAAAAACTGGCAATATTTCTCGCCGTGCTCGGCAAATTTCAACTCAAAGAAACAAAACTTTCTATTTTCTTTCTAAATTATAGACTGATCTTTCACTGTAGAGTTTTCTGACCTCCAAAAGCTGTTTCTCCAAGTGGTTAGGTTATTATATGTCCAAAAAGCATGTTGCTAGCATTAAGATTTTTATTACAAATCTGCACTTAAGTGAGGGAAGTAACACAGGCTCCTCGGAGAGTCCTGCCTATTGAGCCGAGGGCATTTGAGTTCATCAAACTGGTTTAGTTTAAGGCTAAACTAATTATTGCTTATTTAGGATTAAATTCTGGACCATTGGGACATCAACCTGTGTATCCATGGTTTTATTTTTGTCCGATTCAGCTGGGGTTTTAAACAATTCTTTGGGATATTTCTTTTCCTTTCTGCTCCCAAGGGTTGGGGGCGGGGCTGTTGCCTTTCTCTTCTCTGGACAACTGCTCCAAAGGTTGGGAGACCTTGAATTCAGGATATTTGGAAAGGAAAGGAAGTACAAAGCATACTCAGGGAACAGAACTGAAAAATAATTAATTTTCAAAAGGCATGCACATAATGTTAATAAAGTCATTGGAAGTGGAGGTGCCATTTCCTTAGAGGAATATGTTTGCAATCGTGCTAGTGTTTTGGCAATGATATGGATCAAATTTAGACTATATTATTTAGAATTAAAAGTCAGGTATAGAGAACACACGAAAATAAATAAGTGTAGATCGGAACATGTCTATTTCAATTGTTGCGAAAACCAGATTCTATTACTGCTGAACGCTTGATGAATGGTCAGTTTCTTACTCGCTATATATGGTTTCAATCCTCTGAAAATGATGGTACTCCATAAAAAAGAAAATAAGTGACGTGTAAGGCATGAATGATAAGTTTAAATTTCAGACTCAAAGGCAGAACTGAATAGATTGTGCTAACTTGTTGTTGCTATCTGAAAACACCCTTTGCAAACTGTCAGGAAAGAATTTGTGTCTGCATCTGCGTTTTAACCCAGTTATACAACCAAGGAAAAGCAAAATGCTTTTCAGTTGACAGTAAAGCACAACTAAATTATTTCTGCAAAACAGTCTGGGTGGAATGGTCTTTTAAAACTTGGGGTTGGGCCTGGTAGCCTAGCAAGTGCTAAAGTTCTTGCCTAGCAAGTGCTGGGATCCCATATGAGCACTTGTTCTAACCCCAGCTGCCTGCTTCCCATCCAGCTCCCTGCTTGTGACTGGGAAAAGCAGTGGGGTACTGTCCAAGATCTTGGAACCCTGCACTCGCGTGGAAGACCAGGAAGAATCTCCTGGCTCCTGGCTTCGGATCTGTGCAGCTCAGGCTATTGCCACCACTTGGGGAGTGAACCGGTGGACAGAAGGTCTTCCTCTCTGTCTCTCCTCCTCTCTGTGTATCTGCCTTTCCAATAAAAATAAATAAATCTTAAAGAAATAGTGGCTCGTGGTTTAAGTTGACATAATTCTGTTCTGTGGAAATGGTTGATTGTAACATGGCATTGGATTTACCTTCTTTAGTTCCGTTGCCCCAAATTTCTCCAAAAGGCACTTCAGCAATGTTGACGCAAACACACAAATGCACAAAATGAAACATAATTTTGATATACTTGTGAAACAGTTCAAAATGATCTGCTTTAAACTAATGCTGAGAAATACAAAAAGCAAGCAAGTAGCGGCTGGCACTGTGGTGTTGTGCGTAAAGCTGCCGCCTGCAGTGCTGCCATCTCATGTGAGCATAGGTTCTTGTTGTGGTGGCTCCACTTCTGATCTAGCTGCTTGCTAATGTGCCTGGGAAAAGTAGCATAAATTGAGCCAATTGCTTTGGTCCCTAATACTCACATGGGAGAAATATGGAATTGTACTCCATATTTGATGATCTCAGACCAATATAGAATGAATTTCAGCGCATGCATTTAAGTGATAAGGCTAGGTGCCAAAGTATCCACAATACGATAGTCTTTGTGTGAGAAAGAAGGGCGGATACAAAGATTTTCTGTTCGTTTATGCAAAAGAAATACTGGAAAGAGAAACACAAAAAAATAGCTTGGTTACTTTGGGAAGATGGCTGAGAAGGAAAGGCCAAGTTAGAGGGAATGGAAATAGGACAGCAATAACAAGGTGTGACACTCTTTTGAGTACATTTCATCATACAACTCTGACAGTATCTGGCCAGATAAACTATTAATGAGCTAAACTACAAAAACCAATGGAAATAGAAGCACTAAAAAATGAACCAACTTGTCTTGATAGTATAATGGCACTGAAGAAGAGAAAATTGTAAAGAGAAAAATGTAACTTCATTCTTTGATTGGGTACTATACCTATAAGTCTAAAAACAAAGGAAAAGCTATATATTATACCATATTATTGCTTTATTAATATGATTGATGATTGTTTTATTTAAGTCAGAGTTAAGGGAAGAGGTAATTTATAGCAGATGAAGGGCTATATAATTTTTTAGACATTGTTTTTCTTTTTAAGTCAACAGTCAAAAATGTGGGTTACATACTCAGGGTTACTCACTGCAGCATTATTTGACATTGTAGAATAGATTATATTTTGTGAATATAATACATACTTTATGATATGGATATGGTTCATCAATTCTCAAATTACTTTTTTATATACTTGTCTTTTCATAAACTTTAGAAAAATGGTTAACAGTATTTGAAAGGCAGAGCAGCAGCATCTGGAAGAGAGAGAAAATCTTCCATTTATTGGCTCAATTTCCAAATGGCTGCAATGGCACAGGGCCATGAATTTCCTGTGCATTTCACATGTAGCTAGTAGGGGGTTCAATTACTTCAGCCATCATTTGCTGCCTTCCAAGTGTATTAGCCGGAAACTGGATCAGAAACAAACCGCCAGGATTGGGGAACCAGCACTTTGATATGGAATGCCAACTTTGTAGGTGGTGGCTTAACCTTTTAAGCCACAACTTTGGTCTCTGAACTACAACATTGGTCCCTAATAAATGTAAAATGAGATTCATTGTGCTCTCTGGTGGACAAAGAGGAATCTGACTAAAATGAATATTATGTTATTGTACTAAGGCTAGATTTAATATAAATTATTTTGAAATGTATCAGCAGTTACTACAGGTAGGGAAACAGTGCTGCATGTGCTTATGTGTGGTTAGTATACACATGTGTAATTCCTTGCTCTGTCAGCTGAGAAATCTAGAAAGGGTAACACTTCCGTAAGTTAGTAGACCTAGCACACGGATTTTGATAATAAGGACCAATACATGATATAGAAAATCAAGGTTTCTTAGAGAAATAGCTAATTTCAAGAGTGGGGCAGGGAAACACAGGATAGACCTGGAGTATATTGTGATCACAGGAAATAGATGTTCGCCCAAAAGACAAAAACCTGTTGAAGATACAAATAAGGCAATCTTAAAGATTTCCTCATCACCGAAGCTGGCACTGTTAAGGCTAAAAAGTATAAAATTATAGCACTGGATTTTAATTTGCAGAGCAAAACATACATCCATAACCAAATAAATAACAATTAGAGATAATCCTCAATTCATAATACTAATTAATTAGAAAGGAAGGGAGAAATGGAAAATGATTATCAGACAAGCAATATTTCTCCTGTTTCAAACAATTTGTGCCAGTGGGTGCTAAAACCAGTGGGCAAAATTCAAAAAACAGCATTTCATTACAGTTTCAAATCAGCTTTCTCAAGATGTCTGTCAACTCTGAAGGGAGAATAAGGTTACAGTGAATAATTTTGGCAGAGACCACCTTAACTAAATGGGCAAGTTCAACATCACAAAGTAATGAGCACTTTCTATATCATGAACTCCTCACATTAAGGATGACACTTGGGTAATATTCTGGAGACAATATATAAACCTCAAATAACTTCAAATATTAAGAGACATTTAAAAAATTATCAGAATGCTACAAAATCAAAATGTGAAAATTTGAAATCACAAGGAGAGATTACAGAACTGTTGCAAGCTGGAAGAACTAGGGAAAAATAATAAATTCAGCATGAGATCCTGAATAGGATCCTGGAACAGAAAAAGTGGAAAGCATTTGTGAAATCTGTATAATGTCTAAAGTTTAGTTAGTAATAATAATAGTCAAAGTCTAGTTCCTATCTTTCAATCACCGCGTGAAGTAACATAAAACATTAATATTGGGGAAGCAAGTTTAGAGAAATAAGGAACTTTTTAGAGTATTTTTTGTAACTTTACCATAAATCTAAAATTACTCAAAAATCTAAACTTTTCTGGGCTGGTGTTTTGACATAACAGGTAAAGCTGTTATTTGTGACACAAGGCTGGTTCATGTCCAGCTGTTTCATTTCCAATCCAGCTCCCTGATAGTGGTTTGAGAAAGTAGTCAAAGAAGGCGAAATGCTTGGGTCCCAGATTTCCAAGCTGGATGCCTGGGGCTGGTCCAAGCCTGGCTGTTGAAGCTAACCAGACAGTGACTCGGTAGATGAAAGATCTCTCTCTCTCTTTCTTTCTCTCTCTCTCTTTCTTTTTCTCTTTTTCTCTATCCCCCTCCTCCTCCTCCTCCTCTCTTTCTCCTTATCTCTTTCAGATAACTAAGTAAATCTTTAAAAGCACAAAAAAGAAAAAAAGTTTTCTGAAAAAAATTCTCTTAGTATTTCATCATGTATTAATACTTTTCATAGGCAAAAACACCCAAAATATAGATTCTCCAAAGTGGCAGAAATATAGATTATATAAATCCATATATAGA